AATACAGCAGCTCGCATCTTGTCCGTGATGAGAGCGAATGCCACAGGACGTAATTTAGTCGGAGTCACAACTTCTCCACATTTGAAACTCCCGCTCTTTCGACGCGCGCGGACTGGCTGTGATACGTCATTCGTGACGTATAGCAGCCACTACGTGACGTATAATACCAACTTTGTGGCACGTGATTTAAAACGGACTAAATAGCCGCAAAGTAAAATCAGTCTCGCGCAATAAATATTACTGTCAAACAATTTGTTTTTGGCGGAAAAATTGTTTTGTGAAAATACACTTTTTTTTCTTTGCAGTTGCCCTTTAAGTAGGCTCGTTTTGAGAAAAACTCGTTTTGAGAACTCCATTTATACGAGACTTTCGGACGGCACTTGAACGCTCTGCAAGAGTGACGTTGGACCAACGAGGTAGCGTTGGACTTGGATGGACGGTACTCTACAAACTACGTTTAATTTTTAAGCGAGAAAGAGATGTAGTACGATCACTGACAAAGCCAAACTACCCAGAACACAATTTGCGGCTGGAAATTCGTTTTCTCTCGCCTGAAAACAGCCGGTCATGAATGAACAATATGCAAAGACTGTCAACGGAGTTTCAGTTTCGTTTTATCCTGCATTGCTCACGTGGTAGTAGACTCTCTACACTTACGCGCGACGCAGTAGGTACCCTTTTCTTCTCGTCATCAGACACAGCGAATAACGAAACAATATCGATTTTGCTGGCACAACTGCATATGACATCATAGAGTTATTATAATGTACGCTAGAGGTTCAACTGGCGCTAGTGTCTATGCGACTTCCGTGACGCAAATTGAAGCAGACAGCAACCAGTCTACTTTTCCAGTCTTCCTGTGTATTCCTATGGGAAAGCGCGCGTGCATTTTGTCTCTTCGCCGGAAAATAACACGGAACACTTTGGTTATTTGGGTCGTACCGAATAGTATGTACCTTGATTAACACTGTAAAAGTGTAATTGCTTTAGTTAGCGCATTTTTCTTCATCAGTGAACGATGTTTAACTTCGCTACATTTCAGTCCCAAACATGTGTTCCGCAGCAGGTGTGTAAAAACAAGCGACGATTCGAAGCAAAATTACAATCGAAAGGAATGTAGAGTGTGTTCAAGGCTGGCCAGCAATCCGGTGACGCTTATATATATTGCTAATATGCCAGTCCTGTCACTATATAAAAATGACCCCGTCGTGCATGAGCGGATAAAAACATTCAAAACGTAGAGAATAAAGTCCGTGGGCTATAAAAGTTGTCTCTTCGTATTGTTTTCTCTGCCGGGCAGCTTTTATCGGGCACTTGTTCTCAAAGATTTCGAGCGTGCGAGTGATATTTTGAACGCAGAACAAGCAGCTTCGCTCAGAGCAGAAAGAATAAAACGGTACTTACTTATTTAAAATAGGAATAGATTACGTGGCCTTCAATTAATTTTGATCGTATATGCACGTGTATGTTACTGATCCGGTGTTACTGCGTAGTTCTTGCCGTCTTTCTTAATTTCCAGATGTTCTTCGTTCGTTTGGCACGTATATCCCCCACGCTGAAAAGCGCCGACGTCGTGTTCGCGCTAACAGTGTCCGACAGTGCACATAAATACACGTACGAAGCTGTTTTGGCACCGTTTTTAATGCGATGAATTTGAAAGAAAAACATCGTAACTGACCAATTATTTCGTCGGCATGACTGAGAAATGTTCTAAGCTACCTATTACGTATGAATTATTCGGGATATTTGCTCTTATGATAGAGTGCAGAGAGAAAATGCACTCGCTTTTTCCCATAGAAATGTATTACCGGAAGTCAATTTTCGACTGGTTGCTGTTAGAGCACTATATAGCTCCTACGGAGCAGAGTAGCGCAATTTAGAACGCCGTCTCTCGGCGACTAGCGGCGAACGCCCGGAGGTTCCAACTGCGGTCAGAAATGCATGGAGAACGTGAGAAAATCGTTGTTTCTTCAGTTCTGTGGGGATGTACGGAATGGCAATCATTTTTGACATAATAATGAAACATTTTAGAATAATTTGCGATAAGCTTTGTGCCATGCAAGGACGTAACTTTTTTTAAAAAATTGCCTGAGCGGCATCATGCAGCAGACGACACGGCGACGTCACACCATTCACGTGACCCGCTCCGGCCAACCCGAAAAGCCCATCTCCGCTGCGAGCAAAAATCGTCTGCTTCAAACGCCATTGCCTTGGAAATTGCCTTCTCAAAATTTGCACACGCATCCGATATTATTAAAACTTTGATAAAGTGTTTAGCGCTTTACTAACTTCACGACAGGCTAGTTTTGAAAAGTGTGAACTCGCCGTTCATTTTTTAATCAGCCGTGTTATGTTGATCTCCATGTATTCTCCGATAGGGCGGGCCGCCTCCTGGAACCCTGAGTACCACGTGACTCGGGCCGAGCCGCTCTGTCGGCCATGTTGTCGGCAAAACACGGGGTTCAAAGGATTGCGCTACTCTGCTCCGTAGGAGCTATATAGTGCTCTAATCAGGACCATGCTTCAGCATAGAGTTATGTAGTTATGTCAGAGCCGTAAATGAGTTATGTCTCTGAGTTGTGTTTCCACTGTCATAGAGATCAGTGTGTGTTTCAGTGGCGCGCCTAGCGGCGAAACGTTGCACTTGCGACAACGGTGGCGGCCATTGTGGTGGCGGCGGTGGCGGATCATTTTGTTCCGACTCTTCAGAACAGCGAGTTGTTGGAGGTGAGATCGATTTCATGTTCTGAAACTTCAAGACTTCTTTTTATTTAACGAGCGGGTACCTTTCTTAGCAAGGTAAAAGAGCAATGTGTCTCTGCCTTCCTTGTTTCTCCAGTCAAGTTTTTTTTGCGCTGCCTTACCTCGATTATCCAGTGGCGTATCTGGGGTCAGCGACACCCGGTGCGGTGGGCCGCGTCGTTCTGCAGCATGGGGAAACATTCGGGTGATGGTAGCCCAACTTGAACAATATCCGACGCTCAGCCCGTTCTCTACGCCTTGCCAACTTTAGCGGTTGTCTTTGATGAATACTGACGGTATATAATTAGCGTCAGATTATGTAGCCGCTTGTAGGTATTGCGAGTTGAAGGGAACGAATGGGTGTTTTAGAAAGGTATCAACAGGAGCGAAGCGGTGGAGAGGACGGAGTTTGTCATGCGGGAAATACGGCGACGATGTCCCCACCGAAAAATGGAGGGAAAAGTAAAGAAGAGCAGAGAAAGAAAACCGGAGATCGGAAAGGAGGAAGGCGGAAAGGGGATGAAAGCCCACTTGTCTCTACACGCACGCACGCACGCACGCACACGCACACACACACACACACACACACACGGTGTTCTGGAATTGGCTGCTTTTAAAATTGTGCTTAAAGTCCAGAGCCCTTTAAAAAACAGAAAAAGGACCTGAATATGTCTGCGGCGGGCTCGAGAGCCCCGTGGAAAAATAATGTCATCAGTTTCCTCGAGTGAAAAACGAAAGTCCTGAAGCTGCTGTGAGAATCTCTGCCTTTGAATCAGGCACGCATCCAGAGGGAACATGGGGCCCACCCCCCCTCCCCCTCGAAATGTTCCATTTTGCTGGGGCCTCCTCTCCCCCTCTCCCTCATCAGGCTTGTACAAGATACTCACTAAAAGTATTTAAGTTAAGGCCCGTTCACACTCTTGCGACCGAGTATGACCAAGAGAAACCAGACCGGTCTTTAAGCCTCTTGCGATCTCTTAGGACCAGCTCCGCTGCGCTGCAGCGGAGCTGGTCCTAAGTCTCAAAAGGCTTAAAAATCGGCCTGGTCTCTCTCGGTCACAAGAGTGTGAACAAGCCTTGAAGTTACTGAGTACCACGAAAAATAGTAACTGAGTAGAGTACTAAATACTCAAATTTGTAAAGTAATTGAGTAAAGTACAAAATACTCCAAAAAAGTAACTCGTTACTTTCAAGATACTCTCAAGTTACAATTTTCTCTGCAATTCATTGTCAAGCACAACCGAAGTCAGAAAAAATTCTTCCTCCCAGCTACTATGGAATCTCCTGGAAATCTCTTAGCTAGACTTTGGCTACCACTCAGGCTACTAGGAGGTCCCAAGTAACTACGAATGAAACAAAAATAAAAATGTTTTTCGTTTATACCCTTGCTATGGCGAGGACATAGGCGAGGGCAGCGCGGGGCCCGTTCGCCTGCGGAGGGAGTTTCTACACAGAGGCTCGCCTCCGATGCTCCCCTTGTGTCAAGTGTTCATTTCCGCTTCAACCGTCAGTGCACTGGCAGGGCCGTGCAGTCGGGGAGTCCAGGCCAGGGGAGAACGGGCGCCAGCGTGGTGGGCGCCGGCAGTCATTCATGCTACCAAAGACAAAGCCAGTTTTAGTAGACCGTGTTTCCCCCTCCGCTACCCGGACCTCTACAGCCAAGGCCATCGGCACGCAGATGCAGTGGCGGTTTCTTTGTAGCGGAGGGGGAAACACTGTCTACTGGTCTACTGAAACTTGCTAATGCTGCGTACGCCTCAAGCGATGGGCCACCGGATTGGAGCCGTGTAGTCGCGTCTTACGAGTCTTGTGTGCGAAGAGAGCCTAGTGAAACGAACGAGAGGTGTGTGCGACTGCGTGCGGATGCAAAGGCATTTCTGAAGCTGGAAGGCTTTCTTTTATATGCTTTCACTCCATAACATAGAAAAATAAACTCCGGTTTACTGTCGACTCTCACCAGACACTTGTAGAACCCACCCTCTCTCCGACACAAGTGCCCTCCCTCTGACTTGTAGCCTTGTACACATCTTTTAGGCTTTCACCTGCATGCCCTTCTGCTTCGAAATCTGTTGTTCTTGGGCTTGGCCACTAACAAATTGTAATAAAATGTGCTTTGACGTTTTGCCCAGTTAGAAGACATGACACACGTCCGCTGGGCTTGAGGCTAGGACACCTGCTTCTCCGTGTCACCTCTTTCAGCAGAAGCACGGAAGTGCACTGTATTACCTGGCACGAAAGGTATCTGCAATGGCAGTGCGCCTAGCCAAAATAACTGGAGTTCAATATTTTCCAAGCTTTCCACCTCGAAAGAAAATAAAAAATAGAAAGTAACGTAAAAGTAACTTTAAAATGAGTACAAGTTACTTGAAAAAAGTATTCAAGTTAGAGTACTAAATACTGACATTCGAAAGTATTTGCAAGATACCAAGTTACAAAAGTATTTAAAGGGAAGCTACGGAGCTTCTTGGAAAAAATGAGTTAGAAGTGAATTCTAGTGTATTTTTATCCCGTGAATCCGAATACCCAAACCATTTGCTGCGTAAGCATTGTTAAACGCGAGAAAAATGCGAAAGACAGTCGCTGTCCGTGACGTCATCGACGGCTCTTTTGGCTGCTCAAGGCTAGGGAGGCGGGGCTTCAGTCCTATTTTGAAATTGCTCGTATGGCTCTCCGGCGGGTCGCATTGAAATACAATTTTGATATTTGTTAATCTAAAGGCCAAATGAACGCAATTCAAGCGTTTTTTCTCAAATGTAGAAGTGCCCCATCTTCCCTTTAAGATACAGTAACTTGAGTAGAGTATTTAAGTTACGTACAAGTCTGTCCCTCGTACAGTATTTTGTCATGGACGGGCCCCCTCCGAATCAAAATCCTGGCTACCTGCCTGTTTTGAATAATGTATTTAGGACATTCCCAGAGCATGTGATCGGCGTCTTTTGAGACCTTGCAAGCGTCGCATAGAGGCGACTTCCTTTTGCCCCCTCGATGCAATACTTTTCCGGTTTTTGCATTTCCAGTGCAGAGGCGAAGTAGGACTGTAGCTTATCTTGCAGAGTTTTTCATCCAATAAACGCAGCCACAAGGGGCACGACCAGACCAATGATTTTCAATGCTGACGAGGCAAGTGGGTTGTTGATGCCCGCCACCAAGCTATGAAGAAATTGCAGGAGGGGCATGACGAGACTTTGCCAGCTTGTGAAAGACTGAAGTGTAAGCACAGTCTCTGGAGGAGTTCTTTGTTTCTTCTGACTAGAAGATCTTTCCGATGACGCCTCACGGTAAGGGGCTTGTCTGGTGACTGTTTCTCTTTGGTTTCTCGGGAAAGGCGGTTGAACATTCATTGCCTCCGCAGCGGGATTTACCTGAAATCGTGGGAATACTCGACGAGACTTTGCCAGCTTGAGAAAGACTGAAGTGTAAGCACAGTCTCTGGAGGAGTTCTTTGTTTCTTCTGACTAGATCTTTCCGATGACGCCTCACGGTAAGAGGCTTGTCTGGTGACTGTTTCTCTTTGGTTTCTCGAGGAAGGTGGTTGAACATTCATTGCCTCCGCAGCGGGATTTACCTGAAATCGTGGTAATATTCGGCTTACTGTCTGTTCTTTTTAGGAATAGCATTCTTCCACGACGCTTGGCCGGGTTGATTGGTGTTGCAAAGTTCGCGACGACTGTGGTGGCCTCAGCTGGGAGTCTTCCCTTGTTTTATTAAGCGTAGTGACAGCTATTTTTGCGGTGGCGTGGTTCAGTACGTTTTGTTGTCAGTAGTCGTTGATCTTCCTCACGAGTTTGATTTCTGGGCAATGTGGCGATGTCGCGTGATGTTTTCCTCCATAGTTCATACATTTGGATGGGGCGTTGGGTTGGCATTCTTTGGTATCATGGGCGTTGGAGCAGCGAAGACATTCCTTTTGGTGTTAGGGGTTAGGTGGCCAAGTTTCCCGCACAAGTGGCACTGGATGTCAGACGCAGCCCACAGTGACCTGACTTGGCAGCTAACTACCGACGAAAGTGAGGCGTATTGTTTGGGAATCACCCAAGCGCCTCATTTGAGCAAGCCTAATTGTGCTCTTAAGCTGTGCTCTGAGCTCTTTCAGTGATGTCCTTCAATACGTCCTTTATGACACCCACGGCTTGAGTTTTGGACCTTGGTTCATACGCGTACATCAATACACCTAGTAAAGATTCACGCTTCAACAGCTGCGCTGTAGTTTGCAAGTTCCTGGTGTCAGTAGCAATTACGTTCAGCGCCTTATTTGGCCCGATTTGCAGGAATCTTGACGGAGCAATGTTTTCTAACTTTGCGGTCAGGCAAATACTTTTAAAGCTCGTGACTTGCTTTGTGGGGTCTTTCGGAGTGAAGACCACTACGTTGCCCAGAGCTGGAGGGAATGTGGTGGTAGGTGCCATTATCTTGGGTGCAAGGTTGAGCATTCTTTTCCTGCACAGTTCGGAGCCGCGCATATCGAACATGATCTTTGAGGCATCTGAGGTAGATTCTGCGTAGTAGTGCGATAAGAGTGGTAGTGCGTTCGCTGGGTCCTTCACTTCGGTTAGGTCCTCATCACGCTCTATAATGTTGACGTCGTCCCGAGTTTCTTCTGGAGGGCACTTGAAACCGGACAAAAGGTCATCCCTTCGGGATACGCCAGGGAAGCATTGGTTACGGTGAGGTTGGTCGCATTTATTGTTCCTTGCTTTTTGGGAGGTCATCGCAGCTGGACACCTGGTTCTCCCTTGCCGGGAGAATCGGTGTTCCCAGATGCAACTTTCAGATGTAATTGAGCAAAATAAAGTTTTTTGATAGAATAATGCAAAATATTCCTGATGTGCGAAAAAGCACTGCTCACAATCCGAGCGCTTCGTCGTTTTCAAAGGTGTCAACATCAAGGATTATTTCAATTACAGGGTGTCACAAAAATAAATTTACACGCTAAAATGGCTCGCAAAAATAAAAAAACTTGACGGATCTTGTAGCTACTTTTCTCAAAAATGTCTTTAACTGGTCACATTGTTGTGCTAAAATTTCATGTCGGAACTCCGAGTACAAAGAAAATAATAAAATAACTGATTTTTTCAACGACGGAGCGGTAGCTGTCGGCGGGACACCGAACGACGGCCATATTTCTTTGCCTTATCCAGAGGTGGCACTTCAGATTCACTGGACGCTGACTGGACGTGCCAAGGAAAAAGGCGCGCTTTTATCCGAGTTTTTGTTTCTGTGGGATGTTTAAGTTGTTTGAGCTTTCAGCTGAGTTTCACAGTGCAAAAAGTGTCACGCCATAAATATAAATAAATAAAACTGCCAAATGCCGCTCCAGAAATGATGTACCTTCGTCTGCGACGGTTCTTGTTTCGTGCATCATCTGCTTTTGCACTTTGACGTTTGAATGACACACAAGAGGCAGTCAGGAGTGCACCCCAAAAAAACAGCGATTTGGGGGCTCTGGAAAAAGCCGTAGAAATCCAAACTGTGGTGTAGTTGCGATCAAATGCCTCATTCACACGCACATACACTCGCAAGCAAAAAAGCAAACAGTTTGACGTACCCGCCGCAAACTTTGATCCATCTTTCTGCAACAGTAGCTTTTTTTAGAGCAATAACCTACAACAAATGTGCCATCTTGTTTGCACGTTCAGGATCGCCTTATTGTTTGGCGGTCCCGAACGTGTGGGGCGTGTTGACCTACATTCCCAGCATTCTTGTTGATGCTAGGGCAATTTAGCAATAGGTCTATTACTTTACCAGGCGTCATCTGTTTTGTGCTACGTTGTCAAAGCTAGCATAGCTTCCACAGTGCATGATTGCTGCACTGTGGATGCTATGCTAGGCTCTACAATGCAGCAGGAAATAGTTGATGCCTAGTATATCTGCAACGATTAGGTCTCGTAAATATTGGGCACTCAACCATCGAAGTATATGTCGCTCCATTGTAAACTACTTCCTTGTACCGTGGAAAGGGTTTAGCAGCGCTCGAAACATTTGCAAGGAGGACGAACCAACAGCCGGCAAACACAATTTTACAGCGGACATTGCGTTAAAAGTCGCCATGGCTGACAACGTTGCACCGAAGGTTATGTGTTTGTCTAGTTTCCAGTGAGTTCAATACTTCGTTTCAGCTTAGGTCCAGACGCAGCCAAGGCTACAAGTGCGAGCATAGGGCACTGAACAGTGCTTGCACTGCACGAGCGTGCGTGTTGGCAGGGACGCCGAAAGCCCGCAGCTCGCACTTGCAGCATAGGCTGCGTCTGGAATTAAGCCGAAACGAAGTATAGACCTGCCTTTTTTGTGCGTTTGCAGTTTGCCTTCAGCTTGGCGAGAAATATTTCTCATGCACCAGTTCTGAACTCAATTCCAAGAGTGGAGGGAGGTCGATGACCAGACATGTTAACGTACCACAGATCAGATAATGTGGTTGAAAGCTCGTGCTGCAGAACCCTGGGATCCGGGGTTTAATCCCCGCTCCCACCAGTTTTGATCTGGATGAGTGTTGTACCGGCGTGTGGTCGTAAGTCTCCACTGTGCGACGCACATTAAAAACCCCAGGCTAGAAGTCGTAAAGCACTGGCAGAATTTCTATTTACGGTGAAGACGACAGACACCCATTGGGGATCACTAACCTCCCGCTGTCTAAACATGCAACACGATTGCAGTTCCGGGAGCTTCGTGGAAAACGGCTTGGCTTCTGTGAGACGGAGTTTGGTGGGTGTCTTGGAGCTTGACCCCATCCAACAGTTCCTATGGAACTGAACCAGTCTTCAGGTCAAGGTAAGCTCATCGTTTCTATTTGTTTAATAAATGTAGAGGGTGATTTCGGATAAGATCGACCAGGGTGGCTGGTGGACATTTTAAAATCAGCTGATGTTTTTATATGTCATTCTCTAGTGTCTGGTGTAAACGCAGTGATGGAAGTGCTGCGCCATTTGCACCAAATTGCGCCATGAAGGGAAGTCAGCTATACCTTGCACCAAAATGCCATTTTTGAAGAGGATCGTGCCACACCTGTGCCGAGATAGGCTTAAAACAAGAAATATATATATTTTATTATTGGTCGACTATTATTTAGAGAAGTAGAAGGAAAGAAAAATTTTACAAATATGTATTTAACAGCATCTCTACTTAGCGTATAGTTTGTTCCGTCTTAGGTCAGAGTACAGCCGAAGGCTCAAACACATACAACCACAAACACACGCTAAAGGTGCAAGTCACGGGACGTTCACTGCATTCGATTGGTTTAGCCGATGAAAGAACGCTTAGAGAAAGGCGATGAATGTCACGATGTCGCGCTTTGATGCTGCAAATCAACTGGCCAGAGCCGCTGATACTGGGCATCAACCGCTCTGGCCGGCTGATGCGCTGGCTGGTTCATCGCTGACATCGACTAAATTTCCAGGCAGTGTCGTCAGTGTCAGGAACTAGGAGTCTCCGAGAAAACTTTTGCAAAATTGTAGGATTGCCGATTGCGGCTACTGTTACAAAAAAGAACCAGGGTCTAGGTATTCCTGATAAAATCACTTGATTCTCATGTCTGCCGCATATTTTCGTTCTGCGGCTGCAGAGTACCGTGGCACTTGCGCAGCTTGCGTTAACCCTCAACGCTTCTCACCAGCGTGCGTGCGTCGAGCTTTACCGCTTTGCACCGGGGTGCTAGGAGCTGCAGCTGACGCGGAGGAGTGCCTGGCGTAGCGCGATAGGCACACAAATTATGCTCAGGATTATTACAGGTCGACCTTCTTTGTCCTAATTGTGCATTAATCTCTACTTAAAAAAAAAAAGACAGGTAAGGAGAGAAGCCAAATATATACAACACGAGTCTATATATTTGAATAAATACTGTAGTCACAGTAGTTTCCGTGCAGCTGTCTATCGAAAGAGCAGCAAACTTTGACGTAACTCTGGTTCTTACACCGATAAAGAGCAGTCACCTTTAAAGCACAAGTGTAGCCTTTTATACTATTTTTGGGTGGTTGTTTTTGCAGTTTATAATATAGAGTATAGAATTTGGTAGGCTCATTAAATTTACGTGACTCATTTCTATTGGTAGTCGTGTTAGCGGATATGCTGGTTTTTGCTGGTATTAGAAATATATATATATATTTACTGGCTAAACAAACTACCTCATATAAAATAAAGAGGGGAGAGAGGATTTATCTCAATGCATAATGATTCACATTTCAACCATCTTTTAATACCCATTGTATATGAAACCTTTTCTGAGTAGGGCCTTATTTAAGAAGACTGTTCCTTTTACGCCCTGTCTATTCTTATCACAAACGGTGATAGGTAATATGCTCGAGTATTAAATAGGAACCCTCGATCACTATCATAAATGAACTCATTTAGAGAGGCTATCACTTTCTCAAGGCTCAAGTGATGTGCTAACAGATGTTGGCATCTGCTCCAAAAGCATCAGTGGCTGCTCCAAACCAGTATTTTGCCTGCTACAAAACCTGCTACAAAAAATCAAATGCCGCTTCCATCACTGTAAAGGAATCCACTCTTTGTTTTGACCAGAAAAATGATTTGTGGACAGGAAAAATTGTAAGGCATGAAGAGCTGGATAGTTGTATTAATGCACACTGATGGAGGGGCATGTTTGAAAGTGAATAACTAAAACGATAAGGTTAGCAGAATTCTAGTACTTTTTAGGAACCAACTATGGGTACAGCTTGCTTGTAATATATAGTAATTATATTTATTAATATTATATTTCGTTTTTTAAAAATTGCCAAACATGCCTGCTCGAACGACAAATGGCGAAATTCGGAGGCCTGTATCTCATGAAATAGCTTAATCATTATCATATACTTTTCCGATAGTATTCTACTTTGTATAGCTATGATTTAAAAATATATAAGGTAACTGAGTTATACGATAGTCAGTATATATTTAGGCAAACATCAGAAAAAAATTCAAACAACAAAAATTTCTGATGCAAATAAAAAAAAAAAAAACACCTTCGATTTTTTTTAAATTTTGGTACCCTGTCATACTCTGTTTCGGCATTCATTTCTATTAGAAACATGTTGCATTATTTGATTGAGAAAGAAGACACAACTCCTCAAAGTAGGGTCCTTTTTCTAAGCCTACACTTAGCAGTGCCCTATACGAGAAGTGACTGAGTTCCGATTTCAGGAACCTAACTCGCATCTTTCATATATTTTATTTAGGTGAGGGCACTGACAACTAGGGCAATCGGTCACACAGTAAAAGTGAGGAGAAACTATATACAGCATTTTACATACAGTGTACAATTAGAGACTAGTGATTCGAGAAAAAGATGATGCAGTGTCAAGTGTTACATTTCGGTATATTTTATATTTAGAATAAAACAAATAACTTGACTTCCACACTCAAAAATAAAGACATAACACTAAAATTGTTTGGGTTAGCTATGTATTTCCGGAAACAAACCATTTCAGGTGAGGGGTGCCACTGCACCGGATTGTAAGAGCTTCGATACTCTCGGTGTACGAATGGATTGTGGTAAGCTGAGATTTTTTATTCTGTGCGAGAATAACATTTCGGGATTCTCATACGGTGATCAGATAGAGAATAAAAGCTATCACCAAGTTAAACGGTAGGTTAAATACCCCTTGAAGAAAACGGGGATGAATAAGATGCCCCTGCATTCAAGATGAGCAGTCCTTGGGGAATCAAATTCGGCACTTTACGCTAAGGCTTTCCTCGATGTAACCATTTAATAATCGTATCCATTATATTTGTATCTGGTTTCTTCTAACCAGATACGACTGTCCATGCTACGTATATGTCAGGTTCCTTCTGTTGATGACTTGCATGACAAAAAAGGCACGCAGCGTCAGCCAGTCTACTTTTTTTTTGTTGACGATACCGAACAACCTTATTTTTGTCCAGATACACAAGATGCACCCAGTTTGTCAGATAGAACGCCCACCATTGTCCTGGCCGTCTGAATTGCGCTCATTGAACGTTCTCTCAGGTTGTTTAGCGTGGCCTGGTGCTTCACGACTCCTCCAACTCCGTCGCATGCATTTTCCCATGTCCAGCTGCAGAAAGTAACCACTGGCCTTGTGGGCAATCGTTCTGTGCAAACTGGGGAAGCTGGTAGCGATTCTTAAAATGACTGGCGGCCCCGTCACTTACGTACGTCACGTGCGAGTATGCCGCAATGTTGTCTTCAACCCACTCTTTCACGTTTTCTTGAGCCAAGCACATGCGAGCGACATCGTCACACAGGTCCTCACTGATGATAGAAACGCTGTTTGTAGATTTTCTTGTCGTCACTACACATGTAAATATCGTAATTCTTTTTCTTCAGCGGTATGATTTAACTTTGTCAGGAAGCACAATGGTCCAGTTTTCAGCAAAGTCAAAATGAAAGACAATGCTCTCGCGTTGCGTACAGCTGCTTTTCATCGTAGATCGCGTTATCTTGCGTTTTTCGGATATGGTTGTGAAAAATCCAACTTTCAACCATTACTTGAACGACTTTTAAGAAAGCCTTAGAATCCAATGTTTTCTGGGTTTTTTAGAGCGCAGCTCTTAGGCGCCCGTTTCCGGCTTGAGCGGCGTCGCCGTCGGCGTAACCGTAAGGTCACGTGACCCCCCCAGGCCACGTGACCCCCCCTCCAGCTCACGTGACCTCCGCCCAGGTCTCATGACCGTCACGTGATCTCGGGGGGGGGGGGGGGGGGGGGGGGAGGGAGGGAGGGAGGGAGGGAGGGAGGGAGGGAGGGAGGGAGGGAGGAGGGGTCACGTGACCCCCGGGAGGATGAGGAGGAGGTAAAGGAGACGGAGGGGGAGGAGGAGTAACAGGCTGGATCACGAGGGAGGAGGGGTATACCCTCCCCTCAATACCCTTCCCTCCTCCTCCTCCTCCTCAAGAGCTGCACTCCAATTTGGCGTTACAGGGAGTTGTAAACGGCTTTCATTTATTTTTTCACAAGGTCGCCGGCCTCCCATGGAAAGCAAGCAAGCCGGCCGTGTCGCGGCGGTCGCCTATTTGCCGCGACCTAGCGGTAGCCGCCGCAGGAGCATCGGGGAGCAATGGCGACGAACAGCGCGGCGGACAGTGTCCCCGTCATGATTACGACGGAATTTAAGGCAGTTGCGAATTTGAAAAGTTCCTTCGGTAGCCGGTGCCGCCGGCGCAGAATCATCGGGAAGTTACAGTAACGATCAGCACAGACGACAGTGGGTGATTACAAATCCGGAAAGCTTCTTCGGTAGCCAGTGCAGAATCACCATGGGAAGCAATGGCGATGAGCAGCACAGCGGACAGTGTTCCCGGGGTGATTACGACGGGGTTTATGGTGGTTACAAACCGAGAAAGCTTCTTCCGTGGTGCCAATATGATGAAGGGAAAACTTCTTCACGAATCTGGCCGCGAATATGACGTGAAGGAGGTCCGTTTCGACGGACAAGTAGATGTCACGGTGCGCCGCACTCCGCAAACAAAATTAAGCGCTCCCGCAAAAAATTTAGTTGGTGTTGAGTGGACTGCTGTAACTATGTACGTTTATTTCTGAATCAGCTTGACAGTAACAGCGATTTTTTTCGCGCCATTCCACGATACCCGCTACTATCTTCCTGTAGGCTGATGGAAACGTCCAAGGGTAGGCTTGGGTGGGCGACCGCATTCTGCTTCTCGATTCCGGTGAAGTAGTTAGTGCATACTTCAGAGTTTGCCATCGGTGTAGATAGTTTTCCATCGCCGCTAGAATAGAAAAAAAAAGTTAATTGTATTATTCGTCAGCAGCTTAAACAAAGCTCGAACTGGAAGGTAA